TGTGTGTGTGTGTGTGTGTGTGTGTGTGTGTGTGTGTGTGTGTGTGTGTGTGTGTGTGTGTGTGTGTGTGTGTGTGTGTGTGTGTGTGTGTGTGTGTGTGTGTGTGTGTGTGTGTGTGTGTGTGTGTGTGTGTGTGTGTGTGTGTGTGTGTGTGTGTGTGTGTGTGTGTGTGTGTGTCTGTGTGTGTGTGTCTGTGTCTGTGTGTGTGTCTGTGTCTGTGTGTGTGTCTGTGTCTGTGTGTGTGTCTGTGTCTGTGTGTGTGTCTGTGTCTGTGTGTGTGTCTGTGTCTGTGTGTGTGTCTGTGTCTGTGTGTGTGTCTGTGTCTGTGTGTGTGTCTGTGTCAAAGCGGGGCGCTTCTGAAGGTTTGGCGGGGCCTCCCCGGTGGGAGCAGGGCCGCTCGGCCTCCCCCGGTCGCTGCAGGCGGGCGGTGGGCTGCGGGGCAGAACCGCCGTGCGCTTTGGGGAGCTGCTTCTGCTATAATCGTTCTGAGTTTTGTTGGTTTTCTTCTCAAGCTTGCAAACACAGAGGAGTATATAGATGGTGCGTTGTCTGGACACCTGGGTGAAGTTTTGATAAGGTAATTGGGATATTTACGGCAGAGGCAGGGGTTTTTTAAATTGTCTCATCACTTGCACTAGAAGTTGTATTGCTAGGTGCTGTGTTTCTTGTCTAAGATGCTAAACATTAATGTAACTCCTATGTGAAGGCTATGAGATCCCTTCTGAGGGGAGAAAAAATGAATTTTGAGATATTTCTAGAGCGGTGTTTACAGTCCCTATTTCAGGTAGCTAAATATTTTAACTTTCCAGATTGTATATCTGTTAATCCCTTGGCATTAATAAAGTATATTAGTGTGTCGCTACTGAAAACATTTTGCATGCTTGGAAATTAAACTTGACCATAACTTAAGCTAAGAGTAAAAATTTATTGTACAGCATTGTTGACCAGCAACTGCTCTTATAAACTTGGGGGGTTTGCAATTGCGATTAACTTTGTGGAAAGCTGCACAAGGGCAACAGCAGCAATTTGTTATGTGGAATTTGGTTGTTGCCAGGCTACACTCAAGCAGGAAAATGCTTGAAGTAGTGCATGTAAGGGGTGGAAAATTAAAACACAGTTAAGGGAACTCTTTGTTTCTATTTACAGGTGCAATAATGTTTTGTACATCAGAGGTGTGGAAGAAGAAGAAGAAGATGGAGAAATGAGAGAATAGGTGTTTTGTATATCTGGAAATAAACTTTTTTCTTTTTTTTTCATAATTTTGTAGTCATATGTTTACTTTTTTTCTGCTGTATTTTAATATGGGGAATTTAACTCTTGAAAAGGTCTTTAATCTTTTATTGGCATCCAAAAAACTAATGCTGGAGGAATAGGCAATTACAATTTAAAACTGAAAATAGCAGAATGAAAAGTGAATGTTTAAAAACAAACAAATGAACCTCCCCAACTCTTAAGCATTACCAGTGTCAACAAATGCCAGTACTGTCAAGGGAAATATCTGAATTTAAGTGATTCCTGGAATAAATTAAATCTTCCAGGTTGTGTACTCCAAATTAAAATAGATGGTTCATTCATGTCTCAATTTGGCATCAGTGTCAGTGCTCTGCTGTCAGGTAGTCTACTTTCATGCCCTGTATGTGAATTTCTCGTGTCATTCTAAGCTGCATCCCTGAGCAAATTGAAGGAGCTGCGGGAATAGCCTTTTCTCTCTGTAATGATGATAACGTGGGCTGTGGAATGAGCAACAGAAAAACTTTTAAAAAATATCCTGATGCGTTTACTGCAGACTGCTGCTGATTTGGTAATGATTCCTTCAGCTCTGAATTAGTTAATTAAGAGGATGCAGCTGTAATGCTTTGTGGCCTTGTTTCAGTAGAAACGAAGTTTCACCTCTGAGTAGAAAAACTGTAAGTCGTCTTCAGTATTTACAGGAACCTCATTCTTCGGTGTCTTCTCTGCTTTAATGGCTGAAGGCTCCGAACAAAATAGTGGTTATCTTCCCATCTGAAACACAGGAAAATACAGCAGTCTATATAGTTCACAGACTGTATGTAGTTACTACTTAATACATTTAAGCTTTACACCTGTTTGTAAACTACTTGGGAATAGTTGTAAGGCTTCACTGTGGGTGAGATGTGGAGATCCATGATACTTCAGTGTCGCTAAGAAATACTCTGCTACTTTGAGTCATGAAGCTTGAAGTGTGGCTGTACAATTGTTATTAAGGAAGGACAGATTTGTATTGACTTTGTAGCCAATATCCACAGAAACAAAAGCCTACTGGCAGCTATAAAGGTCCATAGACTTCAGCGGCATTAATAGAGTTAAAACAGTGCACTGCAAAATGGGATTGCACTTTCCCATCTCTGTCATAAAAAGAAAGTCTATCTTTGTTACCAGGCATACAGGATGTTGAAAATTTTGGCAGGAAGACAATAACTATTTTTTCAAATGTTTGTTCTTAAATGTAATTAACTGAATGTCCCTTACCTGTCGGCACATCTTAATGAAAGGCCATTGCTTTTCCAATGTTGCCGGTCTGAGACTCCCTGTTTGGGATGCTGATGGAGCCAGGAATCACCTGTAAGATGTGGTTTGACAAGGTGTTCTGCAAACCAGAACCCCAACAGCTATAGGTATGCTTTGTGAATGTAAATTACAACCATTGTGTTACTTTGACCCTTTTCTTGTCTGTGATCACTTACAACAGTGCTGTTGTCAAGTACAGAAGTATCACCCCTGTTTTACACATGGGGAAAATAAAATTTCTCCTTTATCCCTCTGTGATCTCAATCGTAGAGCTTCACAAAAGATAAAAATTCCTGTGGTCCTGGCCTGCCTTAGACATGGTCAGAGGGTGGAAAAGGGAGAGGAAGGGACTCTTTTCTGCTATTTGCAGCCTCCAGCCCCTTCACTGGCAGGATTCATCCAGGCACGTTCTACACAAGCCTGAGATGATGTGGAAAAAGGTTTTCCAGAAGCCTTCAACATTCCACAGGTTGTGTCATTAGCTTACTTGGTTTGCTGAAGGAGAGGAGGAATGTGATGGAAAGATAATTAGGGGAAAAACCCCAGCATTATCACTGGCTTCCCATCTCAGGTTTAATCACCTCCTGAGCGCTGTGTATGAGCCTTCAGTAAACCACTGAAAGTGGAGGGTGGCCGGGGTCCTGCCAGTGGCGTACTGGGGGGCACCGAGGAGACCTCAGCGCCAGCTCTGTACCAGCCCCGTCTCTGCATCGCTCCCAGGAGCAGTTTGATGCGAAGGGTTCTGAAATAAGGCATCAACATGAAGGACATCTATAAACTCAACCTCACACCTCGGGATATTCACAAATGAGTTGATCTTTCAGGTTAAATACTTATTATTTGTCACCTATAGAAAGCCATCGGTGTTCTGAGGTATTTAAAGTGGAAGTCTCAGAGGCGAGTCAGTCATGAGTGCAAGTCCACAAAAACTCAGCTAGGGCTGGTCATTTACTGGTAAGTGACCCCACAGAAATTGCTGCGTGCAGATCTCAGCTCTGCTACCTGGCCACCAAATGCAGTAGAACCCTGCAGGTGCTCTGCCTTTCATTCATTCATTTTCATACCAAAAATTCTACATTTCTTTAGAAGCAGACTGTAGTAGCTGTAGTGTACTGGTAGAAGAAAAATCATAGTTTATCACAAAGTCTAGCAGTCCACTTAAAGGTGGATACAGTTCCAAATTTTTTTTCACTATCCCCTGAAGGACGAGTCATGGAAAGAAAGAAATCTGCCCAGACTGCTGTGTTTCTAAAAGGCTGAGTAAAATCAGTAGCTTTCTGTGGAAGGACAGTGTTCTAAAGAAAAATCTTGGCCTTAATAACTAATGTTACGAGTGGCTGGAGTTTGAGACTGGGTAACCAGAAATAGAGCTGCAGATGTCACCTCTGCTCTTTGAAATTCTCTCTGGGATTGCTGAACGAGACGAAAGCCAAAAAAAAAAAAAGAAAGTGTAGATGTGAGAAACATAAATGTAAGAAGCATTCAGGTCAGGCTCTGTTTGACTTCTAGCCCTTGTTCACAGAAGCACTGGACAGCCAGGCAAGCAATTAAACATGGGGATGTGCAAATATGGGTGTGAATTTAATGTTTGCTGGTGGTCCTCCCAAGGGCAGAAAGAGCAGCTCATTGAACGTATGCCTTAAAATATTTGTGAATATGCGGGAGATGATTTTGCAGCACTTGTGCTGCCGCAAGACAGCGCTGCTGTAAGTCTGTTGGTTCTAGATTTCTTCATTTGCCTGCCACCCCACTGCTCACAGAGACATGAGCTGCCTGGGGATGGGGGGTGCTCCCTTCTGCTCCAGAAAATCATCTCCCCACTGCTTTTCTTGGCAGGAGTGATCCAGCAAGTGCCAGGCTCCACCACAGCGTGCTGCGTGTCATTCCTGACACACCAGCTCTTGCCCCACCACTGCTGCTCAAGCATCTCCCCTCCATGGAGTGTCTTTCTGCCTTTGCTATGACTCTCTTGCAAGGGTCCTCTTTAATTTCTGCTTTCAAACATACTGTGATACTGTCAGGGAGAGCCAGAGTCAGCAGCGGGAACTCCTGGAAGCAGTAAAGCACGATCTACGACCTCTCCTGTCAATCTTCCACACGCTTAGAGAGAGAGAATGTTCAGGAGGAAGATGATGAAGATTATGTGGTGGTGTGGTATTGAACCAGTGGAGCAGTATCACAAGATAACACCCGACTCTATCATATTTTTACTCACTTTTCAGGTTTGTTATTAAATGCAAAGTACTGTGTTTTAGCTGCATACCTCACCTCATTTGCAAACAAGAGTTCACCAAAAAGTTCTTTGTTCAAAGAGCCAACATATCCATCTGTTTCTGCTGTACAGGAATATATGTATGCATATAGGTGTGTTATAAGCATTTTACATCGGTCCTCTTTCTAAAAGATAAGAAAGTCTAAAGGAGATTACTACCACCAGAAAGGTGGTTGAGGGACCACGGATTTAGAAATACACTCCATTTGCCACCTGGGAATTACTGGGGCCCTGCACTCGCTATGAATGTTTGAAGAGAGGAGAACACCAAAAATCCACATTGAGAATAAATATTTGCTCCCAGACTCTCCCATCCCAAATACTGTAGAGGGCAGCAGAATTGCACAAACCTATCCATCATGGAACTGGATAAATTAATATCTGCCTGGATAAATTAATATCTGCCTGAATATCCGGTGCGGTGAGAGGTGTTATGGTCCCTCAGGGGCTTGTGCGGGGATGCTGGTGAGGTGATGGATGTTGACGGAGTAATGGTCACTGGGGAGGTGATGGACACTGGGGAGGTGATGGACAACACTGGGGAGGTGATGGATGTTGGCAAGGTGATGGATGCTTCGAGGTGGTGGTCACCAGTGAGGCAATGGACACTGGGGCGGTGATGGATGCTGGTGAGGTGATGGACACCAGCAAGGAGAAGGATGCTGGGAAGGTGATGGATGCCGGGGAGGAGGAAAGTAGGCAGATAAATGCTCCCAATTCAGAAGCTCCTGTTTTCTTGTCAAAGGGAAGGCTCCAGCTGGTGCAATGGGGCAGAGGGCTCTGGGAATCCCCAACTGGCATAACTGGTGCTTTGGAGCTTATCATAAACTAGCATGATGGGCAGAAGTTGTCACGTCACCCCGGACTACAGCAAGAGCAGCATGCCTCACCCAGGGCAGCAGGTGGCTGCCACGCTTAAAACCCTGTAGCTTTTCCAGCCCAAATTTCTGCCAAGTGTCGACTGTGGCACGGGCAATGGTGGCCACCGTGATTGGTTAGCAAAGACCAGCCCTGGGGCAGGGTCAGAGTGAGGGTCAGGCCTGGCCTGTGGCGGGGGCAGGAGGACTTTGGATGAGGGAGGACTTTGAGCTGAGCGGCGGGCCGCCCCTCCCCGCCCACCATTTGCTGCGCTGCCTGCTGCCATGGCGGCGCCCTTTAGTAATTATGTGTGTGTGGGTGTGTTTGGGTTTTTTGGGTTGGGGGGGCGGCGGGGGCTGATGGCGAGAGTGGGTCAGTGGGGCTGATGATGGGAGGAGTTGGTCCTGGGACTGTGGCCACCGGCCTCTGTGGAAATGCGCTGTTGTCAATTCGGTTGTTTCGGTCCATATGGTGATAACTTCTGTTATCGTGCTGCATTCACACTTCCAGCCTCATAATGATAACTTCCAGCCTGGGGCATTGGTCACAACTGC